CGGCCCCGGCCCGCCGCCCGCCTTCGCCCTCCCCCTCGCTCTCGGCGCCCGCAGCCACGATGAACCGGGGCGGCAGCAGCCCGTCGGCCGCCGCTAACTACCTGCTCTGTACCAACTGCCGGAAAGTGCTGCGGAAGGTACGGGCTCGGCCTGGGGTCCGGCCCGAGAGGGGCCCTTCCTGCCGGCCAGGCGCGGGCTGTTCGGCCCCGGGCGCACACTGGGGAGAGGCTCAAAGAGAACCCCGGACACCGGCCCTACGCGGAGACCGAGGAAGGGGGCGTGGGTTGAGGGTGGGAGGTTGAGGCTGCTATTGCATTTTATCTCCGCCAAGTCAGAGGCTAGTCTCGAGGGAGTGGGATTTTCTGTTTATTAAGGTACCTATGGTCTGTTTTCCGGCTCGCCGACCTCCCTATCTTGCTACCTTCGGTCTGCTCCTCGGGCGGAGGGAAGGAGGGAGGGACCCGTTCGATCCTCCTCCCTGTGCAGTTTAGCTGTTGATGGAGGTCGGTATGAAATCAGAGCAGCCTGGACTGGTCTCGAGGAACCTGGCTCTCTCTTTGCGGTGGCTAACTCTTGCGGGTGTTGTTTTTGTTTATTCGGTTGCTTCTGACTTGTGCGTCTTGCCCAGCACCCTCTTTTCCCATTCTTTTGATGGTCGTCCTGTGTCTGTAGTTCAGTCATGAAAGAAACTAGTAAAGCATCAGGAACTTTATGCCCATGGGAAATGCTATTCGACCTTACAGTTCCTCAGGCTGGGGTTGGGGGAGGAGGAGGTGGACGTGGGTTATCCCTCCTTAGCACCCGCCCCCACCCCCGTGCTGATTCAGAAAAATCAGACGCACTATCAGCTTGTTACTTTCCAGAGTGATTGATAGAAAGTTTACTTCTGTATTGTTTAGCTTACTTGGCATAATCCTTTGGTGGGAGGGTGGAAAGGAGGGGTGGAACAGGATGAAAAAATGTCTCTCTAGACCGAGAACAGTTTTAAATCAGATTTTAACAGCCACTCCTGAGTAATATTATAATCAGTTTATTCTACTTTAAACTCTATTTTTACATTTCGTTAAGAGGAAACATTAGGTGAAGTGCTTCTGTTTGTCCAGTACAAATGAATTAAAATTGCTGAGCTGTGCAGATGCATCGGCACTGAAAGGCTAGGGTGAATATGGTACTGTTTTTAGTCAATTTCTCTAAATACACTTCACTTTGGAATTGTTCTTTATATATTAAAGAAGGAAAGAAAGAGAGCACGTAAGTAAGCAAGCTCAAATATTTGCGCTCTTTGTCCAAAAACTGTTTTTCTTCCTCTGTGGGTCAGGCCAAGTGCCAATCAAAGTTGTTTTTCAAGCCTCTTTTCCCTGCAGTAGGGCTGCTCCTCTTTTTTTTTTTTTTTTCTTTTCCATTTTATTTTATTTGAGAGCGTGAGGAAAGCAAAGGGATTGCAGATTTGAAATTAATTGAATGCTTAAATATGCCTTAAATTGTGTTTATCGGATATGTTTCTCTTGAAACAGATTTTTATTAAATGTGCTTGTTAAGTATGCGCAGTTATTTTTTTTCCATAAACTCTGGGATCGAATTACAGTTGATACTTGCTCAGCTCATTGTAGGGCAGCTTGTGAGAAATGTAATGGATCAGGAGTGCAGATCAGCTTAGATGAATGTTAACTCTTTCACCGCAGAGCCAGATGTCATCTGAACTTAGCTTTAAAAAAAAAACAAAACAAAACTATTTCCTGACTTTAAAAGTGATAAATTATGTCTTTGACATGAAAAAAACGTGTGTTTGACACAAGTTTGATTTAACTCAATCCTGGTTAAAATGACAGCAAGTTTTTTTTTTTTTGTTTGTTTTGTTTTTTAATTGAGTAAGGGGAAAAAAAGCTATATTGACTTCAATACGTTTTTTTTTAAATGGCTCTGGCAATTTGTTAGGATAATAAAACATTTGGAGGTGATATTAGGCTTCAATATCTATTTTATTTTTCTTTTGAGAGAACTATGGCTAGGGATCCATGACACTTTGCTAGTATTTGAGACATCTTTACATCTTCCTCTTAGCTTTTAAGAAACTATTTCTATTTACCTAGAAAGAACATCCTCATTTCTAACCATTATCAGAAGAAGTATGTGGAAAATGGGTATTCACATTTTCATATTTTATAATTACTATGCACATCTTTGCCAATATTCCAGTTTTTAGTAACTCCAAGGTATTTAATATTGATTCATGCAGTAGCATGGAATACTTTAGAAGGAAATAGGATTGTTTGAGCCAGTTATGACATGACTTGGCAACATTTGTAGCTTATTAAGGGTGCTATTCTTAAGTGCTCTTAAAAAATCAGTGTCTAACATTTTAAATTCTTCACCATTTTAAAAATAGCATGTAAGAGTTTATTTCTGATAAAGACATGTTTTTCTTTTTGATAGAAAGAGTATAAGTAAAATTCATCTATAACTCTCAAAATACAATTATTTGAATTCATCTTGTGTTTTCCACTTAATAAAGTGTTCAGTAATAACCAAATGAGTCATAGCACTTTGAATTTCAGTTCACAAAGTTTATAATGGAAGAATGAAACTCATGTGCATCCAGTTTGAATTGCTCTCTGCTGTTATAATCCTCACTAATGATGGGGGAAGGGTAACCTTTATATGTGGGAGAAAGCTTTTATTCTCTCTGTAAGTGGCTTAATTTGTTGCACTGTTGTTGAATTTTGAGGGAATTCCAAAAGGAATTGAATTCACCTTCAAATGAATTTTGTTTAACCCAATTTAGTTTAACCCAATATCTGAATATTGAACCGTATACTGTATGAGAATCACCTTTATTCATAGAAGTGCCTTAATAATTTTGGCTCAGTGTCTTCCAAAAGGAAGAGACTTAAAACATCGAATGTACCTAATTTTGGTAACCTTAGGTCAGTAAAAGGAATGGAGAGGTAACCATATAAAGAAAAGAATGAACAAACAAAACTATCCTTAAATACATAACTCCTACTAAGTCTAACCTGTTCTGTTGCCAATGAGGCAGTTCAGTAAAGTTTTTAATAAAAGAGGAAATGCTTCTATTTACTTTGTAAAGTTGATGAGTTTTTAAGTGTAATAGATTTTGCTCGAAGAAATTCCATTGACACCTAGGTGAACATGATTCTTTAATTTCAGAAGTGGAGTGCCAAACTGCTTTGAGGAAGGTAGTTAATTGTCAGTCCACTCATCTTCCGGTAAATAAAAGCTGGCTTATTACAAATGGACTTTGAGGAGTGAGCAGTTAATACTATTTAAGTGACTAGAACTCTACACTTTAAGTTAGAAGACCTAACATTTAAAAATTCTTAATATGTTTAGGTAGTTCTAGTGATACATCTTTGTGTGTTTATTGCACTTTTCACTCTACTTATATAATCACATATTTTGACAACTTTTTGATAGTTTTATAAGCAAAGATACTCCCAAATTAAAATGGAAAATATTAAACCTCATTTTTCTAGTCAAAATAGTCAGATAATAGCAAGTTTATATTGTTCAGCAAATAGAATGGATTCACTTTGATATGGACTTGTAGCTATATTCTGTTTTGGTTAATCAGGTTTCTTGTGTTATATATTTTTGATCATCAAAGGCAGTTTTTTACTTGATTATCTTAAATGACCTAAGCAGAGATCAAGCAGTGAATTTATGATAGCAAACCTTTATGCAGTGGTTTTCAAAATGCTTTCTATGGATCCCTGAGAAATGCTTAAGGGTTTGAACATGCTTGAGTTGGATTAAATTTTTAAGTATGTTTTAAATTATTTTCAAGTTGTAATTTAAAAATACAGCTACACAAAAATGTATTAGACATAATTTTAATACATTGAAGTCTACTGCAATTATCTTTTGTTACAAGATTCTTGTGCAGGCCTTGAATTATAACTGGTCTGCTATCTTTGTTCATATATTTGAATTTTTTTGTTACCATGTCATTGATGAGAAAGATTTTCATTGATAATGAAGGGATTGGCCCTTTTAAAAAGAATTCTTTTCTCTACATATCTACTCATGTTAAATACTTACTTGTAAGAACATAAACATTATTATCAGTAATTGTTACTTTATAACTAAAATACTTATTAAAATTTTTGCTTTGTATATTTATATGCTTCATAGCTCAGGTTCAATATAAGATTTAATTTGTAAAAGGGGTTCTACTGCTTCTCCCAACTACCCATCATCAAATAAATAAAAAACATAACTACTAATGTAGATGTGCTTACCGTTAGGTCTTTGACAAGTCTTTTAATTTGGAGCAAGTTACTTAACTTCTTTGAAGCTTAGTTTTTTTTCTGTAAAATGTAGATAATTTCTACCTGCTTTATAGGTCATTACATAGCTCAAGAAAGATAGTGTTAAAGTACTTTGTAAACCATGAAGTACAACTGTAAATATAAGGAAGAAAAGGATAAGCATATATATTTTCCCTTTTTCCAGAATACCATAGTTCTTGTGTGTTATGAGAATTTGTACATGCTGAATAATTTGGTTAATATTCACTTTTCTGTCCTGTTTATTGCTTGTAAACAAGAGATAAAGATTATACTTTTAGTTAGAATGATCTTTTTGCATATTTTTTTATTTCCATAATTCTATTTGTATTCTCCATTCCCAGTACCCCTCACTTAAATGATAACCAGTGCATTGCTTTTGGATTTTAAAATAAATAAAATTGCCTATTTGACATTTCAGCAGATAAAGGAAATGGATATTTGGTTTGAGAAGATGAAGAGTTAAGGTTGATTGTGCTTAATAAGGTGGGGGTAAATCTAGGGTAAAGCAAAGAATTTTTAATTATTTTAGGAGAAGAGTTATGGAAGTAAAAGTCTGTTAGTCTTTTCTCTCCATTTCTTTATACTTTTCATTTTCTCCTTTTGAAGGGATTGGGTCATAATAACATATTATATTAACTTTCACAATTTTTAGAGCGCTGTCAAATGATCTTGATTCTCTCAGACTGAGAAGATTTAAGTGGGATGGTCTCTGTCATACAGCTAATAAGTTTATTTAATTCTTAATACTGCCTCTTTAATAAACTGTGTTCTCATTGTCCCCTGCAGTATTGAGGCTGCCGGGGAATATCCCTGCTCCCAGCTTCAGT